CCCCCCACCAAAAAAAAGTGCTTTTCAATTAACGAAAATATATTCTTGCGGTTGTCTCAAACACATGGTTTCATTTCCACTTTTCCTTATTTAAAGGCACTTTCCCCCAAATTTTTCTTGTGTATTATGAAGTACAGGGGCAAACAACTATCTCCCGCTCCTCTCGAAAAGAGCCAGACAAAAATGTGCTATGATTTTTTAATAGATCTTCTTTATCGTTTAAATGCGCGAGAAAGTGGCAGCGGACGAAGTTTGATGCGTAGCTGTCCGTTTTGTTTCGAAAATGGAAGCATATAGCATATGACATGAAGTCGTGGCTCCAGAGAGGTAATAAAAAACATCGCGAGCGAAGCGAGCGCGAAAATATTTTGGTGATTGGTGCGCCAAAATCCTCGCGGGATGAGGGAGCGGCGCCTCTTTGCGCCCTTCCAGGGCGCATTCTAGCGCCCCTTCGGGGCGGGTTTGGCGCCCCTTCGGGGCGCTCAGGGGGGGGCAATCCACCCCCTGCCCCCCCCCGTTCCTACGCCCCTGGAGCAGGGGTTGGGAAAAAACGGAAAAGAGATCCGGCTCAAATTATTCTGGCAGTGGCCGCCGCTCTGCTCGGCGCGCCCCTCTGCTCGGCGCGCCCCTCCTCTCCCGGCCGTCCCGGACCACCCCGTCGTCCCCCTCAGCGGCTCCAGCGAGGCGACCTTCCGGCCCTTCCCTTCCCTTCCCCACGCTCACTTTATGGCGCCCGCCTTCCCCCGGCAGCCCGGCCGTCTCCATGAGGCGCCATGAGCCCCCAGCGGCCCCCCGGGGGGCCCGCCCCGCCCCGCCCCGCCCCGCGCCCTCTCTCAGCTTCCGCATTACATGGCAGGGTGCGGCGGGGCGGGGGCCGGGGCGCGCAGGGGTGGCAGCCCGGCTGTGAGGCTGCTGGCGCCACACGGAAACCACCGCACCGCCACTGCCGTGCTTTCGCTTTCCATCAGGCAGGGCGGGGCGGGCGGGGAGTACACCACCGCAGCCCACGCAGACGGCAGCCCCCATGGGGTTGGTGCAGAGCCTGTCCAGCTCCTGTCCACATCAACCAGAGCACAGAGGAGAAAATGAAAAGAGAGAGAGAGAGAGAGAGATGGAGATGGAGAGGGGGAAAGAGGGGATGGGGGTCTTATTACTAGCAAGGGCCGAGTGAAGGGCAGGGAGATAGTGTTGGAAGGGGAGGGGGGCGGGCGGGCGTTTGGGCAGCAGAGAGAAAGAAATGAACGAGGGAAAAGTCTGTGGGCCACAAGGCCAGCGGGCGGGGCCCCGGCCCTCGGAATGCGTCCAGTGAGTGGATGCCAAGAGAGGAAGATAGAGAGAGAGAAAGAGGGATAGAGAGCGGGGAGAGAGGGAGAGAGAATAAATGATGACCGGAACAGTCGACGCAGCACTCATTTCCCATTTACTGCACTGGGAATGTGCTTTCACGGGCTGCGCCCCGCACACACGGCTACCTTGGCCGGTGTTTTTAGCGGTGCGCCGGGTGTTTCAGAGCAGACACTACACTACACAGCGTCGCGGGATTGCATGCCTGCCAGAGCCGCAGGGGCTGTGGCGCCTTGCTGTCGAAGGGAGTAGGCAAACCCGCAACACTGTGGTGTCATGCGGTACTTGCGAGACTATTGCAGGCATGAGCCGGTGTCTGCCACAAGACTTCACGGGCGTTGGTGAACCAGAATGTGCTGGATTGGATGCCCAGGTTCAGGCTCTGGCCGGGCGCCAGCGTGCACCGCGCGAGGTGGTCAGAGAGGTGGTCGCTGCCTACGCGAGGCGCGGTGGCGGTGCGCGACTGCGCGACGGCCGCCCCTCACAGACACACACTACAAAAACTATAAAACCAACGACGCTGATCCTGAAGAAGTATAGTGAGAGAGTGAGCTGCGGACCAAAGCCGGCTGTCCGGAGCGGCAGAGGAGATGTCTATTTTTCTTTTTCTATCGCGAGTGTCTGCCGCGGTGGCCGCCCGTTTCCGCGAGTTTGGCGTGGTGTGGCGTGGCGCGGCGGTGCGTAGCTGGGCGGACGCGGTGGTGGGATAGGCAACGCCAGGCTCGGACCACAGTCGCTTTTCAAGGCCGCGGCGCCTTCCTCCTCCTCCCCCCCCACCTCCTCCTCCGCTGGCGCGTAGAGCAGCCCGTCGTATTTTCTAGCGCGAGCTCCTCTAGTCGTGAGTCAATAGCCCGGCCCGAGGGAGGCCCCGCGGGGAACCACCTGCGCAGAACCAACCCACCACACCGCCTGCCGCAGAGACATACATCAAACAGTGTTCCGCGTATACGCCGCCGAATCGCGAATCAATCGGAAGTGAAAAGATAGAAATAAACGAGATTAAAAGTGAGGCACGCGAGAAACGAACGGGAAAGAAATATGCCTTGATGAAAACTCGTCATGAATGGCACCTCGTTTGCTGGAACAACCGAGACAGAAAACGAAAGAAATGCTCGAAACCCCCGACGAAGATTTTTCATACTCTCATTACTACTACCAGAACTGCAAGAACTTCAGATATCTTCCTAAAAACTTTTGGTTCGGCACACAACTTCGATTCCCCCCTCTGTTCTGCCGCATTCACAGCGGCATACCCATAATCGGTCGCACAACCTCAAGCCTCTCTGTAGTGTCCGCCGGCGCCCTCGCCCCGCAGGGGGGTGCCCGGGGGTGCCTGTGGCCACTCTAGCAGACGCTGCTGGTGGGGCAATTTAGCCGTGGCCGTGGGAGGGGGTGTGGAGGGTTGCCACGCGACTGTGGTGGGCGGCGGTGGCGGCGCCATCCCGAGGGGGTTAACTCGACGCCGCTGGACGAGTCATTTCCCGCTTCCGACCCGCTCCACTCCAGAGCGCAGGGGGCGGCTCGGGGGCGGCACGGGGGGCGGCACGGGG